TTGGTGAGAAGAGTGATGTTTCAAGAACGCTGTTGTGTAGCGTATGAAAGCGGCTCAAGCAGCATTTACACACATACTCCAACACACACTTGCAACTTCCTTTAGAAGAGCAGTCCTGTAACTGATGTTTGTCTGCTCTAACATTCACTGAACACAGGCACAAAGGCCAAAGCCAATCCAACACCAAAAGAAAAAGGGAAAAAAAAAAAAAAAAGCAGGCTAGTATTTACAAAAACGCTTTCAGAGTGGTTTTGCTCAGCTGGCAGCAAGATGCAGCTGAGGGATAGCATACGCTCTCCGCAACCCGGCTCGGCTTTGCCCTCCACAACTGCATTTTGCTGCTGCTGCAGCCCCCGCCCCGGTGCCAGCTGTGCCCAGCACCTTGGCGTGGGACATCGCCGTCACCGTGCAGCACCCTGAAGGGATTTTACTTCACCAGGCTTAATCAATAAAGTATTTTGTGTCCTTAATTGTAACCATATTTTTTTAGAACTTACCCTGCGGGACCAGTCAGGTCACGCGTAGGGCTAAAACACCCCCACTCAGTCCGAGAAGCTACGAAATGAAAAGCCAGCGGCGTGACCGCTCTCCCATCTTTGTCACATCCCGCTCCTGAGGGAGTTGAGGGTTCATCTCCCCCGCCCCACCTCTGCTGAGGGCTCCTTACATCCCTCCCCATTTTGGAGGCTTCCCTGCAAACCCCAGCACGCCGCGTGCTCTGCAGCCCCCCCCGCCGCTGCTCTTGCACTGGGGCCAAAACCTTTGCCATGCAACTTATGAACCCCACCATCCAACCACTGCTTCTGGGACGCCGCTTGCTTAAAAGCTCCTGAGGCCAATTCTCATCCCTTGGGCTCCTGCCCGGGGAAATCAAACTATCATGCCCCTTCTGACAGCTGCACATCAGCAGCTTGTTTCTTGTTCAGGCTGTATTTACCGCAGCTTCAGCTCTTCAGTCCTCGCAGAGCGATAAATCTTTCCCATGAACTCACAGCTCTTATAAATTCGATTTGTTTTATTCCAAATATCACATAAATTAAATACATTTCCCATGAATATTGCAAATATACATGAAATGAACATTGCAATTTTTAAAAAAAGTTTTGGCTTTGCTTATGCAACAAGAAGTGCCAAATGTGGTTAGAACATGACCTTCTCCTGTATTTACTAGATACAAAAAGGTGCAGATTAATAATTTATATTTATACATATGTACACACTCCATTTCATAACTAGCTTTAAAACAGTAAAAAATGGTTTCAAGTTTATCTACATTAAACATACTCGTTTAAATCTGGTCAGAAGCCCCAGATAAGAGTTGATACAATCATTTCACAACTGCAAAATTAAGGCGCTACCAAAATATCAGTTCCACTAGTGTAAAATGTAATAGGAATAGAGAGAGTACAGCTTTCTATTTATCAATTTAAAAGTGGACTGGAGAACAAGGAAAAAGGAGCAGTAAGAAACAATGACAAAATCTACAGGTTAGAAGTACAAAGAGATCTCGATGACTATCAAATAAACATATTAAAATACAGTAGATAAAAGGCCTCAGTGGCAAACAATTAGTATGCTTCTGAAAGACAAAAAAAGGTTAAAATATATATATCATTTTGTAGCTTGAAGCTTTACAGGTGAACAACAGGTGTAGAGGTAGAGGGATTTTTTTTTTTTTGGCCTCTTTACGATGTATAAAGGGCCACATTCACCACAGTGAAAAGACTCATCATATATCCCAGCATCCTTGCTTGGATAGCAAGCAAGAAAAATGTAATGAGCTAGAAAGGCAACGAATCCTGTCTATCTCTTCCAGGAGCTCAGCTCCAATGCTTCCACATGTACCTTGGCGACAAGTTACACCTAAGCGCAAGATCGGCCATAACGTGGCCATTTCCTCCAGAGAGAAAGGAGACAGCTAGCTTTTCCCATGAGGTACTACTGGATGCTGTAGAGATTATATGGCAGAGATAATTTGGTAACAATGAAATTAGTACTTTCCTTCAGAAAAGAAGTACCACAGGGCAGTGGTGATTTTTTTTTTTTTTTTAATTTATTTTAAAGCTTTGCTATTTGATCAGCATTCAATGTTTTGGAAGAAATGTCAGCTTTGGGCTGCTAATATGATTATTTGCATCCATACACGGACAATTCCTACGTTGTTATCATTTATCCAAAACATCAGTCACTGAAATATTCACAAACCACTTTAAACCTTGACTAAAAAAAAATCCCTCTACAGTTCAGCTTTATCTTTGATAACTATCATTCCATTAATTATGCAGGCCTTCATGAACACAGTAATGTCACTTGCCATGTACAATGTGTCTTTACACATTACAGAACAGCAGTAAACATCCTCTCTTGTTCTGTAGGGTTTCCTCTCAGAAGTACCTCAAAAGTAGATATCTTGAAAAATCAATTTTGCAAAGAAGAATATTCACATTAGTTACTGAGGCAAAGCCAAGAAGACACTAACTAGCACCTTGATATTTCTCTTTTTTTTTTTTTTTTTTTCTTCCTTAAACACACTCCTATATGTAAAACTAAGCACATGTAAGATCAGGACCAGCAATACACAAACACCACCAGCATCCCTTTGCAGCTAAACTAGTAATACTCAAAAACTAGGCCAGACACACGAGGGAGCGAGATGAGTGAGCCTAGAAGAAACACACAGCATGGAACGGGATGGCAAGAACAGGAAGCTGAACAGAAAGGATTGTGAGATCAAATACAGCCCATCTTCTGGTCTGAGAACTAGTTTGCGAAACCACCCTTCAGTAGCTCAGCTGACAGTGGGCTGAAGACCTACTGACTTCTGACATTTCCTCCCCCATATATAGAACAATCCCTTTATACTTCAGTGACTGCCTCTTCATCAGCTTCAAGTCCTGGAGGAAATGCATTCAGCATCAATTTTGAGTATTTTGGTGATGGTAGCAGAACTTGCAGAAGGCTACTGTAGAGTTTATGACATCATTGGTTGTAAGTTATGCACTTCACAATTCAGAGAATATACTTACAAACTATTTAAATAGAAAAGGCGTGTTCAAGGTAGAGGCAGTTACAGTACATTCAGGGTATGTTACAGAAACCATTTGTGGTAGCCATTTGCTGAAAGGAAAAAAAAACTCTGTATTTTGTTTCCCAGACCACACAGGTTATGACTACAATACCCAAAGAGAACAGGTAATATATCTTAATCACTGCATTTTAATGCAGTCTTCTTCCAGAACTCATGTGCAAATTGAAAAAAAAAAAGTTTAAATACATCTTCATTGACAAATAAGAACAAAAGAACTAAAAAAGAAACCAGGCACTTTGACCATTTAGGTAAACAGCCATTTCTTCTTACCAGACTCCTGCACATGAACAAGTCTTTACATTGGTCTTGCTATGCTTGCAGCACATGGAGATTCAAGTCAACTTTTTCTTTCCTGTTGGTAGTATCAGTTCTACTTATAGGAAACTATGCCAATTGAATTGGTAACACTGTTAGTTTTTTCATTGGCAGTTGAGCAAATGTTGATCATTTGACTGACAAGTGATCAATTTAATAGCTATCAAAGTTAGATACTAACAAAACAATACGTAAAAAAAAAATCGAAGAGACAAATGAAAGTTAACACCTGTCTTAAGCTTGCATTGAGACTTGCCTTTATAGGTTCGGTTTGTGCCTCCTTTCATGGTGTTATTGTGGACTTATTTCCATCACATACAGCAACTGGTACTAAACTACAATACTTTCGGTTTGAAACATGTTCAGTAGACATCACTCCAATGTAACGGGAGGTTGGCATGACGCTGCAGGCAGGAGGGAGATGGAAACCTCCCCACGTTTCAGCCTCGCTGGTCCCACTCGCAGAGCAGGCGTTCAGGGGAAACTGCAGCATGCCTCCCTCATACTCGGGGTGAAATCATTATTTCACAGCAGCATTTATCATACTTTAGGGAGCTGGTTTGATCTGAATTTAGTGATAAGACCAGCTAGGAGTACGTGGATTTTTCTTTTCAAATAAACCAAAGTACACCTTTCCAAACATTTTGCACATACTCAATCTGCTACGACACATAAATCACAACATGAGGGATTACCTAAGGCTACTAAATTGTGTACTTATTCAGTAGCTATTATTCTTTCAGATAAACATCCTCAGATGCCTTGACCACAAACGGCTTAATTTTTTTTTTTCCTCACAGACTGCTATTTGCTGAAGAGAGAGAGATGTGGGTGTATGACAGACTGCCTACCGACTCACTAACAGAGCGTACTGTTGGTTATAGTCTTCATGCATACTTCTGCCGGGCAGCGTAACTCCTCTTCTGTTCACTACCTTTGAGAAAGTCTAGGAAACACCTCTTCAGTTCATTGTCCAGTTTCCTTTTCCTACCAAGTGGAAATCCAAATCACATGCAGGCCAATGGTGCTATTCTAGTACTTAACTCTCTTGCAGGCTAGAAACATCATATCATAGTACTTTGAAGCAATTATCCACATCTATCAGCTATGCTCTAACTGTAGCACAGCTTTGTGGAGGCTCAGATTTCACCAGGACAACAGGAGAGAGTGCAAGGTTTGGTGAATACCCAGGATAACAAATCGATGCAATCGATGGATGCTGGATGCAGTCAGAAAGGGCTATTCCTTCTTGAAGCAATCTTTAAAAAAAAACCCAAAAAACAATCCCTCCCCTTTTGCCCTCCCCCAAAACAACCTGTCATGAGATGTTTTCAGTGCCCACTCACAACTGAAGTCCATGTTATCTGGGTCTTTTGCGAGTCACAAATATCAATACGCGTCTGATGGCAATAAGACGATCTTTAAGGGAGGTCATAGCCAATATAGCCAGCTGAGCTCTGTTTTCCAGAGGCAACACTGCCAACAGCCACCAATACCAGGCAGGACCACTGGGGTTACTCTGCAAAAAGATGGAAAGACATGCAATCATGTATTCACAAGCACTGTCCTATGAAGAACACTACCTTCCCACCTTCTTCTTCTATTTGCTAAGGAAGTCACCAGAAAAAAGTTAAAGCAGCAACTAAACACTTAATTTCAGGTGCTCTCCTTGTCTATATGCACCATGAAGACTGACCTCTTCAGATATCAAACTTACATCGATATAGTGTTTTCCATTGATTAATTATTTTCCATGTTTCAGGCTAATAGACCAAAACTGGGTAAATAAGATCTTATAATGCACAAAAACACAGCAAAAACCTGTCAGAAAATAGTCTTGTGTAAAAATTCTGTATAGGATAAGGATGCACAAGTAGGAAGTTTTTATTACCTGTGGCTCTGGTTCTTTTCCTGGCATGGACCCAAAATGATTGAGAATTTGCACTTTCATATTGTCTTTAAGAGAAGTAAACCAGGCAACAGCTTGGTCATAAACTGAATCATGAAGGCGGACAAGTTCTTCATATTCCGGTCCTTCAACCTTATTGTTAAAAGAAGGGAGATGGAACAAAACAGGTTTGACACCGTGGAGTCCATATGCTTCCCCAGAAGCAAGCGAAGCACAATAATGCAGTGACTACAGCTGTTCCAATGTCCTTATCTAAGCAAACTGTACCCAAGTCTCAGATTTCAAACCTGCAATACTGCAGTCTTCTTACCCTCCCCTAGGTATTCTGAAGTGACATTTCTTGGAGCAGTGACTGCCTTGTTAATAGCCATTCCTAAATGCTGGCACAACAGGAGACTCTGTTCTCTAATCCAGGGACATCATATTAATCATCTCAAACCCACAACCTCGAGTCCCTGTCACAGAAGGACCTCTGAACGTTGGTATACCGTCTGGCCAAACAGAAGAAACACTACTGCCACCGAGCAGAGAGACAGGGGGTCTACCACACTTAAGAGATCAGTAGCATTTTATAGAAGTGTTAAGGGTATGGTAGGACAGCCAAGAAGGAAGGCAGACACCTGAGCAGGCAGGAAGCAGGGAAAAACGGATGCTTTCCCAATACCAGGAACAGCCATAAAAAAAGACCCTTGGCTGAGGCAAAGACTGCTTTAGTTGCACAGTCCAGACTGTTAGCCATTAGGGAAAAGAAACAGCATAAGCAAAAACCTCTATGAATTGGTGATTTGGTTGGTTGTTTGTTTTTTTTTTTTGCTTTGGGGTGGTTGTGGTTTTTCCCCCCCTCTGTAACCTGTTGATCACACCAATGTTGTGATTCACCTGTGCTACTCAGACACACATCTGAGCTAGCTACTCTGGATGCCTTTCACCCTCAAGGAGAAACAGCTCTAGAGGTTTCTTAAGGCAGGTATCTAAGACAGAGCAGATAAAATAGGCAGCTTTGGACTGAGATTTCTCACCATCAGATATAACATGAACGTAGGGTGCTGAACACAGACGTCAGCCTCTCAAGTGAGACAAGGCAGATCTCACTCTAATTACGAAGAGGTGAGTCTCTGGCACCATCTACAAACAATGCCTGGACATCTGCGTTCCACCACCCTTCACTGGGGATTTAAACACAGCAGAGCCCTCACTCTGAGCAATGTCCCTACTCCGACCTTTCGTAGGGGGAGGCACCTCCATGTCATCTCCCTTTCCTGCCTTGGAGAACAACTGTGTCATCCCACACAGGTTAGAAAGGCCCTACTAAGACTTTACAGACTTGCACTTCAATCACGAGAGTGTGATGGATTGCTGTATGACCAGACTGGACTTCATCAATTGGCATGAGATTAATACTAAATTCAATTTTAAGAGGGATCAGCGTTTTATAGACATGCTCTGAAGATGATCCGGGAAGTCATCATTAAGCATGGCCAAAAATCCACCCTTTGGCCAACACCCATGACAAGCACATCATTTGAGGCAGGCTTTATAAGATGACTTGTTTTTAAAAACTACTCCCCTCTCTGCATTTCTCTGCTCTCAGACAGCTCTGATAGATGCTTGTATGGGCCTGGTTAACTACATGTCACTAATATCTCATTGTAAGAGCGGACTCTCACATTTGTTTGAGGACCTGTTCTGTAAGTGAGAGCTTGGAGGCCATATGAAGTCTGCCAACTGTCTGTTCAGTGCAAGAAGAGAATAGTCAGTTCTCTTAACAACAGGGGAATGTGCTCTTAGAAGGGTTCCAAGTCCGTAACAGTTTTAAAACGTTACTCTGACCTCACCTAGACATCATGACAGACCTCGGCATCTGAGTCTCAGAAGCTACTTTGAGATCCATGAAGGGAATGCAACACTTCAAGCGGAGATAATTATAAGGGCAGAAAGGAAGAAAGGGAAGGAAGAGACAAAGTTTGTTCCACGGTTTTCAAAATAAGAGCTTTAGTATTTTAATGATATTGGTTTAAAAATAATGCATAGCTAGCTTGAAATGCAACAAGGAAAGGCTATTTAAGTGAATCCAGCAATACATGGGTATGAATAACTTTGCACCATAGATCACCTTTTTATCTTCAAGATACTCGATGTTTGCTGTGTTATATCCATCTCGCTGGCCATGGCTTAAGACCCTAAAACGACGGACACCAACTGTATCAACAACTGAGCGTCCATCAGGAAAAAACTTTACGTCCCTGATCTCTAATATACAGCCATGATCTGCAAATCTGAAATGACAGAAGGGCATAAAAGTGGAAGTCATCAACAAGTGTTTATACACATCAGGACAAATACTGGGCCTAATTCACCACTTGTTATTTGAAAGAGGATCCTGCTTTGGTGACAATACATTTCTGCTTATCCACATAAGCCACACAACCCCCACCCCTTCTGCCTTCCCTCAGAGGTCCAGGGCAGCAGCATTTTCGGAATGTAAATGGCGGGGGGGGGAGGCGGTGTTGGGAAGGGATAGGAAACTGAATGGAGCATGTTTCATGCTGGGAGTTGCCAACTGCTGGTGGCAGATTCACCTGGTTTGTGAAGAAAACAAGATGTGTAAAGACACCATAAGGAACTCCAGAAACTGAGGAACAAATGCAGAGCTGGAAGGGCTATCCCTCCGCTCTGAGGTACAAGCAGAGGATTACAGGCTTTAGAAGGAAAAGGCTTCTATATAGCAAGATTTTTTCTTGCACTTGTATCCCTTAAGTTAATTAAAAAAAAAAAATTATAAAAGCCCATTTGTATCTGTTATATTTAAAGTAGGTACAGGGTTTAATCTCATCCTGGAAACAAGCATGCAATAAATTTTTACTTAACATTATCAGGCTTGCCTACTCTACGTTTGTGCAGCAGTGAGTTCACTAGTGAGGCTGATTGCACAATGACTCTTCACCATGATGTGTTCATCTGCCGGCATTTGCAGCTCTTGTTTCATCAAGGAAACGCTTGTTTTACCAGGGCATGGCCATTCCTTACATTGGAGTGATGAAGAAACAGCAACACTGTGGGGAAATGACTCTTGCTTCTCTCCTACCAGAAATCATGACTTTGGGAGAGGAAAAAAAAGCTGACCACTGAACAACCGTTCTCGCCCGGCCGTTGTACAAAACAAACTGAGGAAGAGCAAGAAGCATACAGCTGCACACAACTAAGCCCTGCTGCTCTACTACTTATATTACAAGTGAGTTTATTATAGCAATATTAGACTAAACACTATTTAAACAGCTACATAACAATTTTTTAAATTATGGATTTTAGTGACATTTATGCCAAGTTTTAAAATTAATGTGTAAGTGATGGGGGGTGTTGTCATTCTTTGAGAAGTTACTTTTGGATATAAAGTGACTTTAATCAAAGAGAGACAAGAAAGCACCTAGAGATGGGCATAAAATGTACTGACACATTAGAAGTTTATCAACAATTCTTCTCCCAGTTTCAATTTAAAGTGGAAAAATAAAACAGAGCAAGGTGATGAACTGAACATGTCTTGCCACTGTGTTTTTTAAGGGAGGTACAAATCTCAGCCTCCCATATCCATGTCTTAGTAGATGAGGCAAACCAAGTTTCCCCAATTTTTCTATTTCCAGTTGATTTTGAATAAAGAACAGAACTTCTTTACTTGTCTAAGAAGCTCAGCCTGCCAGGTATCTGCAGATGAAGGCTTCAAGCACATCAGTGTTTGATTTAAGTAGAAGTTACCATGCTTAAAAAGTTTAATTATTTCAGTAACTCAAAACAGACAGGACATAAAATATAACCATACTGGTTGCATTTTAAAATACCCTTTATGACACTATTTGATAGATCAATTCTTGTGGTTTTGTGATTGTAACCCCTTGGGCCTCTGTATTAGACCTGACTACAAGTAAGTTTGGCTCTTCCACAAGCTTTCACAGATGTAAGGGGAGTTATCACTGATGTCCCAGGGTCATTTTGTCCTCGCTCTTACAAGTATTTGCTTCCAGAAAATTAATAACAGGGCTGGAAGGGACTGTGAAGCATCAGCTGCTGTTGGAACAAGAACTCCACTGAGTGCAGCACTGACAGCATGCCAAATGGCATGAAGCACAGCCAGAGCTGACTGGAAGCTGTAGCATCTCCTGTGTTCTTACTGTCACCTTATTGTCCAGTCGGGGGGGGAGGAGGAGCAACAAACAAAAAATCAACAAAAAGCCCCACCCTGAACTGGACAAGCAAAGGCTGCCAAGTCCCAGTATGACTGCCCTCCTCTCAGCTCCAGTGATGACGACCTACAAAAATGCTGCTCCTGAAGATGCCTGTCTAATGTGTTCTTTAAAATTCCCATGCTCGTCATCCATTCTACAGTCTGCATCAGGCCAATGTATCTTCTGAAGTCAGCAACTATCTATTACATCTTGTAAGGTAGACCTCTCAAGACCACCTCAGTTCTTTCCACAAGCATATTCTTATCCCCTTCACCCAAAAACCTGTATCTATAAAGGACTTAAAAACCTGAAGGTTTCAATGTAATGATTAGTATTGAGTCTCCACAAAGGGAGCTGGAAACACATCACAAAAATCAATTAAAGGTAAGCTCATATAGAAAGACAATGTAGCCCAGTCACAGCAGATAGTTTAGACATTGCAACACAGCAGTAAAGACAAACATCGAAATTCAATGTTCAGCAGCAAAACAGGCTTCTCAACCAAGGGTATACTTTGTCTCATTCAAATGACAGTGCCTATGCAGGAAAGCTATGCAAGGTTTGATTTTTTTTTTAATTTTTTTTAACTAAGCAGACAGAGGAGCAACCTCATCCAGTCAGCTTTCACTAGACCAAACAGGCTAGAAAGCTTTCCAACCACATTGACAATTAAGTTCTATTTTTGGAGCCTGCAGTAGCAGGATGAGTTGTAGTTTTGCTATCCATCCAACAGGGGAGCAATAAAATTACATCTTTGTGTCAAAAGGAATGTTGAACACACAAAACTAAAAAGCCAGCCACTCCTGTATTTGTTCATACAGGACTGGAAGGAACACCAGTTTGGGGAGACAAGTATACTGTGCCATAGTACTCCATTAGCGTCACAACAGCCTCTGCAACAACAGGACATTCTCAGCTCATCTCCTTACCCTTTTAATTCATCAGCTAAGCACATGCCAAACTGCTTGGTACCAGTTTCCATGCATCTTCTTATCATTAGACGATAACGAGGTTCAAACACATGGAGTGGGCAAGGGATGGTAGGGAAGGCCATGGTACACACGAAGATGGGAACATCTTTATTCAAACTGCAAGATAATTGTTAAAAAAAAAAGTTCAGCTTCTTTCTGGGTACTGCTATATTCAGCCTAAACCCTTATTACAACACTAAGTCCAGTGATTTGTTTAGACTCATTCTTTGTAAATGTGTATCAGGTCAAAGTGTCATTTTTACAGGACAAACACATTTCAGGATTCTTTCTGTTAGTACATTAAAGAAACAATCCCTCTCATCTACTTTCAGAGAGGAAAAGTCAGGAAGTAATAGCCAATTTCCTAAGTGCGTGTATATCGACACTTAAATACAAGTAGTCAGATTTTGGTGATGTTTTATGGTAATATAGTACCTAAGAACTAACCACATTCAAAGCAAGGTGGTACAGAATTCCCAAGCTCAGTAAAAACCTTTAATTTTGAAGAAGCCCACTCATCTTCATATTATTTTTTCAGGCTTAATTGCAGGCTTTATTTTTTTAGCCGAGTTGTAGCATAAAGATCCACAAGTCACTGACAACACTGAATCCTTGAACTTCTCCCGACCTGAAGTACAATCCATTTATAACTGGGCTTCTACTACTAGAAAACCCCTGTTATAACATTTAGAGCTATTATATTGTTTCAGAGGATAAAGCAATTATCTTTAAGATTATTATTATGCCTTTCTACCATCCAAGCATATTGTTTCTTGTTTATCTGCAACAAACACGTCAAAAATACAAAGTATCTGGCAGATTCATTCACAAATTCATTCACTTTTTATGCATTTTCATAAGCAAATGACATTTCTTCAGTAATTTAGATTAAAAATACATTTTAATAACAGCTGTCAGTAGTAAAAAGAGGGCCTACTTTGACAATTCCTTCATTTCTTCCTCATAGACTTTCTTCCTTTCAGATAATTCCTCTGGCAAGTAACGGACTATCAGTTCTTCTGTAAGGACGGTCTTCTTGTAAGTTCGGCTTGCCAGAAACTGCAAGGAAGAGTCAACTCCTAAGTCTGATAACAAGAAGTCAGGTAACATCTCTTCCTCCCAATCCATCCCTTCTCCGCAGATGAAACAGCACATTAGTTCAGGACCATACCGATCCCTTCTCCTGTCCAGCCTTCAGGTATCAAAACTTCCACTTTAGGATACGAGGTTCACTCCAGTGCCTGTTTAATTAAAACCCCATGCCCTTTTTTGGCAGAAGTTGTACTACTACCAAGAAAAGGCAGTCCCTCCTAGCTCGTGCAGAAGATATGTTATTATTTTCACCTAGAGATTCCAGGTTACTGCTCCCCAAAAAGCAGTCCACGTACAAGACACATTATGTCTGCTGAAGCAGAAGTTTTGATCAAGGAGTAGCCATTCCTCATTCACCACAGGTAGAGATACAGACTGAAGATGTGGTAGGAACAGGGCTGTGTTTCCAGGGAATGAGGCACCTACCACCTCTCTGGGTAACCCTTCTTGTGAAAAATTTCTTCCTTATATCCAGTCTAAATCTACCCTCTTTTACTCTAAAACCATTACCCCTTGTCCTATCGCAACAGGCCCTGTTAAAAAGTCTGTCCCCATCTTTTTTAGAAGCCCCTTTTAAGCACTGGAAGGCTGCATAAGGTCCCCCTTCTCCAGGCTGAACAACTCCAGCTCTCTCAGCCTGTCCTCACAGGAGAAGTGTTCCATCCCTCTGATCATTTTGGTGGCCCTCCTCTGGACCCGCTCCAACAGGTTCATGTCTTTCCTGTGCTGAGGGCTCCAGAGCTGGACACAGAGACCCCAGGTGGGGTCTCACCAGAGCGGAGCAGAGGGGCAGAATCACCCCCAGGTGGTAACTGTTGGCCAGGCAGTTATTTTTTTTTGCAGCCCAGGCTACAGTTGGCCTTCTGGGCTGCAAGCACACATTGTTGGCACATATCCAATTTTTCACCCACCAGTACCCCCAAGTCCTTCTCAGCAGGGCTGCTCTTGATCCCCTCATCCCCCAGCCTGTGTTGATACTGAAGGTTGCCCCGAAACAGGTGCAGGACCCTGCACTTGGCCTTGCTGAACCTCCTTGCTGTCAAAATCTTTACTCAGCTTGGTGTCATCTGCAAACTTGCTGATGGTGCACTCAATCCCACTGTCTGTGTCACTGATGAAGATATTAAACAGTACTGGTCCCAGTACAGACCCCTGAGGGACATCAGTTGTCACCAATCTCCATCTGGACAGTGAGCCACTGACCACTTGCAAACCACTATTGGTTGGGACTCCTCAGGCATGAGCCTCTGGAAGCCTCTATTCCTTTAAGCACCAGGAAACCCCACCTGTCTTCCAAGGAATGACAAAATGTATTCTGGAGCAAATGAGGTCTGTGCACAGCTTGATGCTGTGGGAACTGCTGTGTTGCTCTGGTCTGTGAATAGAGCACAGAAAACCCCCACATACGTGCTTTCAGAAGAACACAGCTTTGTAGTTTTTTGTTAACTAGGGCAAGGACATACTTACTTCTGACAGCTTTTCTTTGCAGAGTGGGCAATGTGGATTATGGTCAAGGCAACGCTCAAGGCATTTGAGGCAAAAGGTGTGTCCACAAGGAGTGGTCACAGGTTCATAGAACAACCTGAAAATGAAAACACAGAACAAAAAAGCTTAGCCGCCAACATAAACAATGCAGATTCCCAAACTGTGGAAAGGAGAGACTAGATCCAGCCACCTCTTCCTTTCCTGCTTTTGTATAAATCACAGGTGACAGTTTTATCTAAGGATATAAAAAAGGTTTTCATTTTTAGAAGTGGTAAACAATGGAGAACATCATGCATAATGGAGAAAACCACGTTTGTAAAGGTTCACCAGATGCAAGATTCAGCAAAAAGGAACAGAGTAATGATTTAGACATTCTTTGGCAGGTTTCCCTTCCAACACCATGAAAACCTTTTTTCAGAAGCTAGAAAGGCTTTCTGATCTCAATCCCAGGTCAATGCAGTCATACCTCATGCAGAGGGAACACTCAAAGTCCGACGCATCCACCAGAGTTGTTGGTACCTCTCCTGAAGTGATGTTGGTGTTTTCAGGTAAAAAATCTGCATCTAAGTATAGTTAAGAAGATGATTACAGTAAATTTTAAAATATTACTGCAGTTCAGATGCTGTTTAAGTTGTTTTTCCATAAAGAACCTAATTTCTCTTTTCTTTTTTGAAGTTTTGTTCCAAATAAACGTATTTTCCCTTCAAGTTTTAGACTTTCTGGCAGGGTATCTTTTGGAGAGCAGAGGATGATGTCTATGGCCAGAGAAAGCACATTAGAGCTGAATACCCATGATTTGCTTTTCCAAAAATGGTTGCGTTTGGGGTTTTTTTTAAAGCCTAGTTTTTAAAATACTCTGCTGTTGTTTTCCCACCACCATCACCACTCCCACATCAGCCAGGCCAGATGTTCTAAAGTACATTAAGTCCAGAATTTAATTTGTTTACACACAGTCAAACTATTCCATCAGTGTTTATTATAGATTTCTCAGCAGGGGTAATTTTTCTTACAAGTATTAAAAAACCTTATGCTCTTCTAGACTAGGCTGCTGTGCAAACCCCATGTTTGAGACAACTTAAGTGTGTAAGGACTACTGGAGTTGCATTAGCTAACCGTGATTTCACTAGCCCAGCACTCTGCAAACACAGCGATGAAACACTTCACTTAAAATTCTGCCCACTCTGTTTTTTGGGGGGTGGTACATATCCTTGTAGTTAACACGCTTAAAGGGTATGAGCTTCAAACTTCACAGCAGCAGCATTTACACTCAAGAGCTATCAAGCTCGAGCTTCTGACGGTGTTTATACAAGCGGATTCTGCAACTTCTTCTACAATCTGCATCTTTGTTGCTCAGCGATGAATTGCAACAGAGCTACGAATGCTGCCTCCACGTCCTTTTTATTAACCAAATTCTTGACTGTTAAAAACAAACACTCAGCTTTTTATGTTAAGTTAAAACACTGTTAAAGGATAACTTATGCTCAGCATCTGGTTTATCTGGAGCACAGACGGGATAGGGGAGAGGGCACTGGTGTTGTGTGGCCTACAAACAGCGTTATCTTTAACCTACATCTCACATGTTAGCATTTAGTAATAGCAAGAACCTAACTGTATTAATTCTGTAAACAGTAACATGGCATTGGGATCTACCACAGACCAGAAATTAATGGTTATGGGTAAAAAGTGATCTCTGGCCTTCACTGTGAAGATACAGGCGGGTGAGATTTCACAATCTATTTACTGAGGCTGCAGTTCACAGACTAGTACAGGGTTTTTCCCTTCACAGCAACGCGGTCAGGAACTGGCCATACGCTGATCATGGGCAGAGGTGGCAGACAGACAGCAGCACTTGAAGACCTTAGTATTTCAAGGTAGAAGTCAGATTTGTCAAGGAGGTGGGTTTTGTGGGGTTTTTTTGCTTTAAAAGAGAAAAAAATACACACTAATATGGCAGCATATTAGAAGCCCCTTTTCACCAATTATTTCACTACTCAGTGCAATCTATTGCTCTCAGCGTTTTTATCCCAGGGTACTAAAAACACTTTGGAGACCTTTATTAGAAGCTTGAGAAGCATACCAATTGTAAGCACAGCTATCGAGTGACAGAAAACTAGGGGGGCTTACTACAACTCAAAAGGCTTCTTTGTTTGATTGGAAAATTTCATGTAAAGTTGCATGTGACTGCTTCTGATGCCAGTCAGAGATTAGTTTCCAGGCCTACTGCATCTTTCCTTCATATAGAAAGACAATGAAGTTCAGCCATACCTCTGAAACCTAGGAAACGGAAATGGCACCAGCAACACAAAGACTAAACTGTTAGTGGATTACACATTGGAAATGGCCCATTTGAGAATGAAAAATACAGTGTTCATTGAATGCTGTTCACTGAAAAGTGAAAGTTCACTAAACTGCTCTGGTTACAGCAGAAACAGACACACCAGACAACAAAATATGATTCCAATCCCTGTAAGGAATGTTTCATTAACACCTAAAAAAGGGAGGAGGAAAAAAAGTAGGTTATCATTTTTAAGCATGTGCAAAAGAAATCCCCTTTCTAAGCCACAAGACAAACCTTTTTTAGGAATCTTATTGGGGACATCCAAGCTTTGTAAATCCCTCATCTCACTGGACAGCTTTCTTTTTAAGCCAACCCCAGGTAAACTGGAGAGAATAGCTCCCAAAGACTTCTTGTTTTCTTCAAAATAGAAATCCAGAACATGATGGGAAACAGGAGAATCAGTGCTTCTAAATACATCAGATTCTTGGGACGGGGTTTTTGTTAACCTGAACACAGTATCCTAAAAAAACAAGCAAACAAAAAAACCCCACCACAACAATTAAACACAGCATAAGACAATTTTGCTTTGTTTTTCTATCAGTTGTATACATCAGCAACAGATCAATGTCCCTACAATGAGTTTAGCAAGGAAGAAAGGTCTGTATCAAAGAAGGTCACTCTCCAGTTGCATGAAATAGGGCCACTTCTCTCCCTAGAAGAGAGGCTCCTGCCTCTAGAAATTATGTTCCTGTCATACTAAAATCCTGAGTGGAAAAAAACAAACCACACACTAATATAAGCAGCCCCCCTCCCCCCAAGGCATTACATTGTTTTCTGAAGAAAGAGTTTTATTCTCTTATTTTTCCTGAGGAAGTATGTCCCAACAAGAGATCCAACAGCAATGGAGAAAACAGGCTTACCATGAAAGTAACTGCCTACATGAGTGCAGACAGAGACAATGTCACGCAGATCAGACAGATCCTTGTGTTACTTTTGGTATTTTTATGTTGAATGCTTTTTACTTTACCTTTGAGGACCCAGCAATGGAGCTATCTTCCGCAGCTGACTGTGCGTTTATGCTACTCAGAAATGCAGGTTTCAATCTTGCATGGGATGTTCGACTAAAGAAAGGTGCTGTTAGACTATCATGCACATTTTCAAAGGCTGGGAAAAACATCTCACACATTATCTAGTCAATCAGAGAGAAAAAAAAAAAGTAATTACAACACAGATATTTATGTTTGTACAAACACAGATACACAAACTTCACAGCTTCTGGATGCCAAGAAGCTTGCAACAAGGAGGACATCCTGCATTCCACAATGCCTACAGGAAACTTGAATGGCAGTCCCCCCCCCAACTTCAGACGCATCCCAAGGTGCTCTTCTGGTGTCCACCTCCCTCCCCAGAGGCCTCTGCTCCGCAAGAGCACCCAGAGCTGCTGCATCCTTCTCCTGCTCCTACCCTCTCCCACTCTGATCCTCAGACCGCTGCCTCCAGAAGTCTTCAGACCATGATCTCCTATCAAAACCAGTAAGCAGAAATGTGTCCCAGCTCTCTTCATACTGTGTCCACCTCCTCTACCCTCAAGCCTATTTCACACCTAGCTAGAAGCTGCGTAGAGAGCCCGTTCCCCCTCTCTCCAGTCCCCAACAAGCGCCTTGCTGAACTCCTGTTTCTTATTTTGAAAAAGCTGCCTGTATGGGCTGTCACAGAGAACCTGACAATGGCTGCTTAGCAGTGTGTCTCTTATGGGAAGTTCTACAAACTGCTACAGAGACTGCAGGATTTTTCCAGGACAGGGCAGCACACAACTCCCTTTCTCAACACTCTGCCACCTCCCACTTAAAAGTGGTTTTCTGACTGGCACTAAAATTAAGGACCTTGAGCCTACGAAATCCAGGTGTACTCAAATCTGGCTGACATACTGCAAGTATAATCTACGAACGGCAGCGGCCAAACCTACAGATTTGCAGTGGAATCCACAAATATACAATCCCTCTGGTTGAGGCACCAACCAAACTCAGACGGCGCCTCCCACAGTGTAACGCTAATAATGTTTATTGAAGAATCTGCTGAATCAAATTATCCTTTGGCTGTTTACTATCACCTGCAATAACAGGAATTTTACTTAGCTGCAGGAGTAAGAGCAGTGTGATGGCCAAGAAGCAGCCAGTAAATGGATCTGATACCTTTTGGGCTTCTTTCTTCATTGAGCTCCATTCAGGATTTAAGGCAACACAATAGAGAAACTCCTTCAATGCTTCCTCAGTCCTTTCCAATCCAGAGAGAGCTTTTGCTTTCACATAATGGCCCTGTTCATGCAAAGGAAACGTACAAATCTAGAGATCGTTTCTGAAGCGGCAGCAAGACACCAGCAAACAATCTTGGAAGTTCACACCATTCTGTAGGTGAAGAATAAGATGCTTTTTGGATAACAATCTCTTTGATCCATGTACCTGAAGGGAATTCAGTCCCTTTTGCTGAAAGAAGATCCCCCAGGAATCCACTGCTGCATTACCCCCAGCCAAAGCCATCCCTCCTTTCCTCAGGGGGCCTTGATGCAGAATGAGGAGGGGTATTTGTCTCCTTGGGGATTGAGACTGCTACATATCCCACAGGGCTCGATACCCGTTTCACATACCAGGGCAACCTTAACCATAATGAAGCTGCACAGGGCAGGCTGGAGTTGGCAGCTGGGGGAGCAGAAGATTTTCAGGTTCAGGACACTCTCACTTCTGCCAAGTGTCTTACCAAGAGAGAGATGATTTTTCACCTATTTTATTTGGCTGGATAAGACCAAGAACATCATGAATTTAGGGCAACATACCAACACTTAACCTGAAACCTTTTAGCCCATCCTACCTCTCCCACGTCCTAAGAGCAAGACATCCACGGCCAACAGGTATGGTAGTCAGCCTGGGGACAAGTCCTGCTTTACTTGTTACCGGCAAGACTGGAATGCCCCACCTCTGAATTTCACCGCAGATAGCAGTTTACAGTTCAGATTTGGCTATGAAAATTACTTCCTTAACAATAAAAAGAAACTAAGTGTGCATTTAAACGTTTGCCTCTTGCTTATTAGACAGAAGCGTTCTCTGCAAGTCCACCTCTGATCCACATGAATATCTCTATGCTGTGCTGAAAGTACAATTTCACTAGTCCACACTTTTGTATTCTTCATACTAATGCAAAAAGACCCGCTATCACGTAATATTCCTGAGCAGGTACCACCCTCACTCCTTCAATATAGCCTTTAAAGCTGAGTCCCGTTAAGATCTTTACCTTTCCACTGTTGGGAAGGCGGTGGCTTCTGAAAGAAAAGAAAGTAACTGGCTCTGCACAGGACGGGTTAATTAACGTGTGTCATTTGGTAACCTGAACAAGAAGTCTCAGTACACACCAATCTCTCAAGGTGAGATTTCTTTTTTTTTCCTGAATGCAGTAAGAACAGCGGTACTGTGAGGCCTGACCCTGACCTTGTCTATCTTGACGCTTGCACAGCCTCTCTAAAACCTTTTTAGGGAGGTCCTAACAAGCCTGACATCGCTGTCAAGATTACGCCACTGCACTGGGGAGGCTACAAGGTTGTTTGGACTTGTCCTTTGGGGCCGCAGGAGTAATTTCCTTACTCAAGCTGCAAAGAGAGGACTGAGCTGGGCTGTCCACAGACGAAATACCTAAAGATCCAACACCAGAAATTAGGCCTAGGGAATAGAAGCCCCTACGCTTCAGAGGCTACTGCTGCCACTTTCCCTTTCCTATTTTCACATGGCCCTGGCAAGCATCAGATTGAAAGGTAAGGTCTATGCAGGATCTTATGTAGCAGGCAGGATCCAGGCACGAGGGCATCTGTTTCAATCTGCCACATAAAAGTACAACTGGGAACTTCTCCATGCCTCAACAGAGTCCAAGAATTTGTTTTTCATAGCAACTGAAAAGAAACCAACTTGTCTATTGACTATGTCTTATGACTACAGTGAACCCAAGAGCTTCACCAGTAACTGAGCAAGCCATTACGTTTCCATTGCCTCCCAGGAGCTACTCCCAGAACGAGTCTAATTTTATGGCCAATTTTTTAATTTTTTTAACTACACAGCGCATGTTTCAGCTAATCCCTGCCACTGGATGAGATGCCATGAGACACAAAACAAAGTGGATGCCCAGAATTCCTGGAGAACATGGATTCTGGATCAGCACAGCTTACGTGGAAGTTCTCACACACACGCAGAAGTGAAATGCATCTGCGACAGTGCTGGTTATGCCATGATGACAAATTTCATTTTCAATAAGCATTCTTCAGGGATGTGATTAACGAAATCTTTGTCCGCCTACGACTGACACACATCACACTTCTGTAGATTCAAGGCAAACAGAGAAGACACTTCAAGAAAACATTTGAACGTGTGTAATTCATCTTTCTCCCTCTGCACAGAAGCCCAGCCAACGCCACCCGAGACATATTCCTGACACGATGAGAAATGATCCTAGACAAAAAGGCAAACTGGAGTTGAGCAGAAGATTATGAACTGCCTTCAAATAAGAAAAGTTTTAATGGGTGACAGCATCTAGGGACAAGTATCTAACTTGTCAGAAACTAGATGCTTCCAACAGCACCTCTCTGCTTGCCCCACATCTTCCCCAGCTGGAAACAGAGAGGTAGCTGCAGCCCCCCATGCTGAGGCAGGTGGCCGAGGGGTTCATGCAACACCTCCTTAGTCTTCACAGGGAAGCCAAGGTTCCCCATACTCTCTCCAGGTAGCACCCAGGGGCTTTATCTGGTCAAACCTGTGCCGCAGTTTTGTCACTGATGGGTGAGGGACTGACTGGAGGTGTAATCCCAGGTGGGGCGATCTGTCAGACACCCAGTCTAGCCTCAGGCAAGTGGTGGTAACAACAGGCACCACGTGCTTCTTCCATTTCTCTCTCGTAACATAATTTCTGATGCTTGCTTCAGACTGCCCACAAACCAGTGCTCCCTGTAGCACCTCCTCTTGTTATGAAAAAGATCCCAACCCCCTCTATGAATCACCATGACACAGGTAGGAATCACATATATGAACTCTTAGTATTAAAGGGGGACACACACACACAAAAATCCTGAAATACAGTCTGGGGTTGTCCTCAGAAAGACACATTGGCCAGTAGGCTGTCAAAACCACCCACTGCCTGGGACACACCATCTCAGAGGGAACTGCAGCGTGGTCCTGGGCTGCCAGAGCCTTACAGACCCAATTCCACTACCATGCTGCAGCACTAACTCCAACAGATCAACAGGCACCAGCACAAACCCCACCACATCACCAGCTGCCCACCGCTGAAATCCCACTGGCTGAAGACACGCTAAGGACCCTCCAAGACTTGTCCTATGAAGAACCTGGCTTTTGGTACACATTCCCAGCCCTGACAATGCCACTATGTTCTTCCAACAACGCCCTAAGCAGCGCTGTCCCCACCGCAGAGAGAAGCCCCAAGAAGCAGCCGTTTTCGTTTTGGTCTTTACGACACACAAGCACCGTACCGCAGGCCAGTGGGGTTTGTTTCGGCAGAGGACATCCGCGTCGTGAAGAGCTTGCTGGTAGTTTTTCATTGACGTACAGAGCTCTGCTCGCTGTGCTATTAGTGAACACTTGCAAGGAGCTGGAAAACAAAAAAGGTTACAAGGAACCCCATTAAAAGAAGCACAAGTACGTGTTAAATACAGTAACCTACTTTTCAGCCAGAGTAACCTAAAAAGCACTACTACACAACAGTTACATTTATGCTCTTCTATAACAGAAAAAAAGGCAATTCCTTCCTTCTTTCCTTCCCAAAATATATCCCTCTCAGCGTAGAAGCAACCTCTGTTGCTTTATCCTGATAAAACCTCTGTGTTTTATCAGGCCGGACAGATTTCATATTCACACATAGGTTGCCGCCTGCTCCTTCCCTCACCTTGCTTACGGGACACTTTAGAAGGCAAAAAGAAAAAAAGCCCCAAGTGTTTCTCCCCCAGCGTGGCTTTGCCTGAAGGAAATCACCAACGCAGGACTTTGGGTAACACGTTCCCGTAAGCCACTCGTTCAGAAAAGCGCAGGCAGCCTTCACATTTCATATCCACTTGCCACCCGTGCACCTCGCCCTCCTCGGGGCAGGCAAACCTCTCACGATCACACAGGCGGCCGCAGTACCCACGTGTTGGTGAAC